ACCATATAATAATCTCTTCTATGATCCCCATTGGAATTCTTGCCTTGATTTTGTAATATTTTAAAGTTACTTAAGTATATTTTACATGAACAATCTTGAAAAATTTTGATAAGCTACTCAAGTTAGCAATAAGATGTGTGTACATGTGTGTGTATGTGTGCATGTGTTTATTTGCATTAGTGTGTGTGATGTGTATGTGTGTGTGCACGTGCGCAGCAAGTTACACCTTTAAATGATAATCAAGGGCAGAAACCTAAAATTAACCCTACAGAAATGGCCTAAGGCCACCCATAGAATGCACTGAATTGAGCAAGGCAAGGTCCATAGGCAGCTGAGCTGAGAGCTGCACTGCAGCATTAATTAGATGAAAGTATTTGGAACGGAAACCGCCTCACTGTGGTGGTTCTCACAAAACCGAAGAACTGCGGCTTCATTCCATGTATTTTTGTAAACATTCATGTCTCACAAGAGAAGGCAAATCTCACAAAGCAGGGACTTTAAAAAACTGAGAAGAAACTATCCTTAAGTTGACAGACTTTTGAAGACTTGGAGTGACTAACACAGTTTGTGCCGTACTTTTTATTAAACAGTATCAGAAAGTTTTAGACAAAGATTTTTAGGTTTTGGATGGTAAATGCTTATTGAGAGTTGAAGGTTGACTAAAGGTATGGTTAGCTACTTGATAGTTATAAAGTCTGAAATGCTTTGTGGAGGGGAAGTTACTTTTCGTTAACTGGGTTGGATCTTATGTATTTATAGGAAATGTTTCCATTTAAGAACATTGATACATTAATAGTTTCCAGGCACATTTTATGGCAGGCCTAAGTTTGTTCTCTTTTGAACATCTAGGAAAGGATGTTTTTAAAGTAAGCACTTAGATTTGCCTGGATTTCATTTATAAAGCAAGGGTCTTAACTCTAAATGCTTCTGAAATCAGGCTATGCCCCGGAGAAGTGAATTCCCCAGAGATGACCATCGTGTCTTCCACTCATTTTCTTCCTAAATCCCTGTACTTTGCCCGTGTTTGTCCTTTTGAAAAGCAGGAATGGGTCCAGCTCCTGGCTGCCCCTCAGGATCCTCGGATTTGTGATTTTTCTTCTTTATTTCCTTGGAGATGTTGTTCAACTGTAATCCTTAGGGCAATCCTGCTCTACAGCTCCATGTTAACTTCAAAGCTGAGGCTGGACCGCCATCGTTAGCGGGAGTGGTGAGACATCCAGAAACCAAATTTCATTAGGTGGAGAAAGGAAATGTTTCTAATAGCCTGCTAGCAAGTACGCTCCAGTTCACAGGTAGAAATCCACTTGAGTCTTTTGTCTTAACAGTGTGTCGCTAAAGCCCCCTAGTGGCCAGGTGACCCCAGCCAGGTGCGGAGTGCCCCCTCCTTTGGAAGAGAATCCTGCCTGAAGTCCTCTCCCTCACTTCAGGCCTTTCTGAATCATGGGAGAAAAACTCTTGGGTCTCCAAGCTAGTTTGATTCCCTAATTTCAGGAAGTCTCCAGGAGCGCAATTTCTAGCTCCCCATGCTTCCAGGAGAGGGAAAGGCCAGAGCTTTCCCTGGCTGTGGACAAGTTGGGTCTCTGAAGCCACTAGTTCTACAGAGTGGTGCTGGGAACTGTCCTGCAGAGTGGGGGTCTTGCCAAGTAGCTAGGCTGAGAGCTGAGGTAGCTCCCTAGTTTGGGTGTCTTATCCTGTCTGTGTGGCTTCAGGAGAGGATAAATCCTCACCTCTAGGTACCGCAAGGAAGCTCCAAACATCCTGGGAACAGCTATATCCACAAGTCTTGAGTACCTGTGCTAAAACAAATGACCCATAGACATAGATGTAGACACTACAGTGCAGACCCATGAGACAGTCCACTTGTACCAAGAATCCACAATGCCCCTAGAGGGCCCACGGGCCACAGCCATTCAGTAAGCATGTGACAAAAATGCTATGTCTTCTATGTGTACTCAGTGATAGCAGGTCTCTGGCATACTATAAGGGCATACTTTGAAAATGGGGGCTTAGTGAACGTAATCAAATCTTGGTGATGTCTGTATGTTTTGAAGGAGGTTATTCAGGAACTGTGAAACATGCACTTTTTATTAAATGTTTAAATTAAGATGTTATTTGCTGTGAGGTGTATGGGTGGCATTGTGGTGAGCATTACAGGTGATGCAATTAACTCCTAGGGGAGTCCTAGATACAATTTCTTCTTGCTCTCAAGGATGAAACTGTGGTCCACCGGAGACCACAATCCCTCCTAACCCTGTCCTCTTCAAGATCTGCTTCAACTTTTCTATACTCTGAAACCTGTCTTTTCTCTGCATTTGGACTATAACTCTATCAAATCTGTTTTTGCTGAGATCATCCTGGAATGAATTCCCTGTTTAGTCTGATGCATCTTAGTGACCCCTTGAATAACACTGGGCATGATTGGTGACTTCCTGAAGGCACCATCTCCCTCAGCCTCACCAGCTCTTTCAAATCTGTGTTGATACTTCCTGATATATCTTGGGATCTTTGGTTACACTTCTTCTCTGCTTGCTTCAGTCATGGATATACATTGAAGCATCTGGTAGAATGTGCTTCATTAAGAAATGTAGATCCAAACTCCAGAAATTTATAGGACTACTGGTTTATATTTGAAAAAACAAAAAGTCCGTGTTTATTTTTTTTTAAGAAAATTTATTTACGTGTGTGTGTGTGTGTGTGTGTGTGTGTCATGCCATACATGTATGGCAGTCAGAGGACAACCTGCATGAATCAATTCCTACCACCATGTATACTCTGGGGATTGAACTCAGGTCATCAGGGTTAGCAGCAATCACCCTTATCCACTGAGATGAGTCTTTCTTTTTTCAAGATTTATTTTATTTTATGTGAATGAATGTTTTTCCTGCATGTGTATATGCATACTACATACGTGCCTGGCATCCTGATCTCATGGAACTGGTCAGTTGTGAGCTGCCAGGTGGGTGTTGGAACCAAATCTTGTCCTCTGCAAGAACACAAGTGCTCTAAACCATGGGCCATCTCTCCTGCCCTCCGGCATGGTTCCCAATAACATTACTTGTCATGTTTCCCCCTCTTGTCCACTCCCTCTTTATCATCTATGGCTTCTATATGTGATGATTTCCAAGTAGGAATGCCTAACCTTGAGCTTGCTTTAGAGTCCAGATCACTGTTTCCAAATCAACTCAGGCTGCTCCTGAACCCAGCTGGTCTTAAACAGAAGTCATGAATCATTCCCCAAATCTGCTTCTCTTCCATCTTTTTTTATTTTATTAAGTGGCATTATCATTTGTATAAGCAGACAAAGGACTGTCTCCTTACCTCCTTCTTCATTCATGTTCCCAGAGGAGCACCAAAGCTCAACTACTAACAAGTTGTCATGTTTTATTATTTATTTCCTATAAAAGTCCATGTTAAATGATTAAATCCAACAATTATCAACTCTCACACACACACCCAGTAGCCAAGTATTGGTCCAAGTGTTGGCTCTTTCCTCCTGGCCTCTCTACATCTTCTCTGGTCTTTCACTGTCTTAAGGGCGATTTTTAAAGAAACACATCTAAGTATGTCATGCCTTTACATACAGTAATACTTCGACAGGCTCTCAGTACACTTGGAATACATGTTCCAAGCGCCTGGAATACCTGGTCCCCTTTCTTCTGGTGTTTTACTCTAACTAATCTTCTATCTTCTACTTCTTTCTGTGGTCATATCTCACTGGGCTTTCCCCCCCCTCCTCACTGGGCTTCTTAAGGTTCCTTTGCATTTAAAGTCTTTTTACAGTCAATTTTCTTGGCCCAGTATACTTCACCTTTTTAAACAATCTTTTTTTTTCTTCTTCTTCTTTCTACTGTCCTTTCTCCTTTCTGTCTTTTCTACTGCTGCAGATGAACTCTGGGTTTTGCACATCCTAGGCAAGTGCTTGACAATCGCCCAACACCTTCAGCCCTTCATCCACACTTTCCTTGTGTAGCACCTGAAAATCCTTCTATCTCACCCTGAATATTACCTCATCTGGGATGGTTTGCCTGGTGTTCCCTACTAGGCTGAGAGACCTGATGATGTCCCCTGAAACTACAATACTAATTGCCACCCTCTTACTCATTATATGAATTTTCCTGCAACTATTTTCCCAATAAATAATCTACTAGTCTCCCTGTGAGACAAAAGGTCCACGTTCATTTCATTTCCCCATTATCTTCAGCTTTTCGTATAGTGCTTTAACTTTGGTAAGTTCACCATGTATTATGCACTGAATGCATGAGCAAGACAGGGTTTCCTACACAGGACTGAGAGAGCTGAGCTATAGAGTGCTTGCCATGCAGGAATGAGGACTTCATTCAGTTCAATCCCCAGCACCCACATAAAAAGCCAGGCACAGTGGGGAAGGGCTGTAATCCCCTTCCTATGTTGGGCAGGTAGAGACAAATAGACCTCTATGGTTTGCTGACCAGACAGTCTAACTTAATTGCTAAGAACCAGGTCTCTGTGAAAGACTCTGTTTCAACAAAAACCAAACAAATAAATGATCCCCGAGTTCTACATGTTCATGTTGCACTCCCAGCCTCATGACATGTGTGTGAAACCAAATACCAGAATGTACTTTTGAATTATCATAGCTAGAAGATGAACGATGCCCAGTGGATATTGGAAGAGGAGAGAATGTTAATGATTTTTTTTTCCTGGAAAATTTCACACAGAGACAGTTGTAGTTTTTGGATATGAAGTGTCCCCATACCCCCACAAGACTCATGTACTTTATGTACTAAGCCCCCCTCCCCACAAGGCTTATGTACTGAAGTACCCCTGCCCCCTCCCCATACACAAGGCTTGGTTCAGTGCTGTTGTCTTGAGTGTGAGAGACTAGCTTCATCAATGGATTCCTAACTTGTGTGGCATCCTTAGGATATTCCGAAAGATAGGAAGTTGATAAAAACAGGCCATGTGGTCTGTGGCACCCAGGCCTTGCAAGATGGTATCTTATCTAAGCCTTTTCATTCCAGTACATTCTGTGTTGCTCTATTGCACCAGGCACAGACTCAGGGAGCTGAGTGGCTGAAAACTGAGACCTCATAGACCATGAACCAAGGTGAATCTTTCCTTCCTTTAAGTTATTTTCTTAAGAACATTTGGTCACAGCCACAAAAAGTAACTAGTCTTTCATAGATGGTAAAGTTTTCATAGATGGGAAATGATATCCTAGGCTGTGGAGAAAACAGGAACAATAGTATATGGGTAGGAGAAGATGGGGTCCGTTTGACGACTAACTAGTAACACTTGCATCTCTAGGGAAGGTAGATTCCAGAAAGCTAGGAAAGAGGTAGGAAGGGAGGTACACTATAGAGACCTTTGGGGTTGTGACATGAGTGGCATTCTGAGAGAATTATCTGAATGTGGTATGTAGGGAAAACTTTGGCACCCCAAAACCAGCTAGAAAGGGTACATAGATTTCAGCGGTGATGAAAAAAGTTAGAACTCTGGTAATAGCAGTGAGAAAAGGAGGGAGACTAGACCTGAGGCTCAGATGGCAGAGGCATCAATTGCTGGGAGTTTGGTGACTCATTCCATGCAATGACTAAAGAAACAGGCCAGATGACCCTCACATACAGATACCACAAGAAAGGCAGGGCTACAGTGCCATAGCAATCAGTCTCAGAGTGGCTAGAGTTCTAGGGCAGATCAGACTGTACTGTGTCCTTTCTGCAAAATCTACAAGAGTTCATTCACAGGGCAAAATCTATCTCTGCATGTGCGGGACCGTTAGGATGGCTTCTCAGCTGATTTTTGAATGGAAAAACTTAAATATGGGCTTTCTTTTTTCATTAATTTTTTCCCTTTTCTTCTTTTCCCAGATGGCTGTTATGGTTCAGTCCACTTCACAGGTATGCCCCAGGATTGCAAATGACTATTTCACATTTGCTGTGTAAACTAGTGACTCAGTATGTTGCTTTAGAACTAGATACGTGCGGTTTTGCTTCACTTGAGGAATTCAGTAAAGAACATACTTCATGTCAGCAAAAAGCCTCGTAAATCCATGTGAAGGACATGACCAGACTCCCCTGCTAATCGTACAGCTGCATGGACCTGGTTTCCCTTTTCTGATGGGGGCTTCTCAAGTCTTCCCCACAGTCTTAGAAAGATGAGGAACAACACTCGTGTTCTTTTCTTGAATCTACTCCTACTCTTCAAGGTTAAAAAATAACTGAAGGAGAAAGTAAAATTGAACAGAGTGTTTTTTTTTTTTTGTTCTGTATGTAAAAAACTATGCATGTGTTCCCCTCCAGATGGGTCCTCCAGGGATGCCTGCCAGAAAAAACAAACAAGGCGACATGGCCCTAGACAACTGCTCTTACATAATGGAGAGCTTCTGTACTGGCCCCATGTCTGTAAACTGTGTGTCCGGGGATAGACAGCTAACCAGAAGCATACCTCATACATAGGAGAGATAGGAGAGGTAAGAAACAGAGATGATTAGTTTTCTGTTACAAAAGAGCATTAGAATTGTCAGTGCTTCAAAGAGCACTCCTGGCTGTGTTCGGCAATAAGAGGTTGGGACTACCAGATGACATGAAAGGAGATAAACACTAAGGAAGGAAGGGTTTCTGCAGAGCTGGGCATGTGGGGTACTGAGTCCCTGGTGGAGTCTCTATTTGAATATGTGGCTGAGATTGATGACCTTTCATGGCCTTTGTGGCATGGGACAACCACACTGTGTAGTGTTCATTTTCCCTGAGTGGTAGGCTAGATGTCTCTCTAGACTTCTTGAAATTTTCTTGTCTTTCCCATTACTTTATCCATGAACTTGGAAAATTTCTGGACATGCATGAGGCTAGGCACCCGAGTTTTTAGACTTCTTTTTTTTTCGATAACAAATTCCTCCTAGGAAGTTGATACATTACTTATCAAAATTTACACTTCTAAAGCAAAGCCCTTCATATGATTTATTATTTCATGGATATCTGAAGCCCAGCTTTGCTACATTTCTGGCTTGAGTGACATTGTTCTTTCTGTATGTGTATGCATGTGTGACACACATTCACAGACACACACACACACACACACACAAACACACACACACACACCACTGACACTTGCTTTTTTGTGTGTGTGATGTGTGATGTCAGAGGATTTTCAAGACCTGAGACTATTCAGCACACCTTGTGATCTGTGAAGGGGCCACATGTCCCAGGGTGGAGCTGAGGTTGTCACCTTGGGTTCACAGTGGCCTGAGCATTTCTCACAGCAGGCAGTCCTCTCCTTCAAACACTACCCCTTTAATTTGTAGTTGACACTCTCTTGGAAGCAAAAACTGAAATTTCAGTGTACATTTGAGGTCAGAATTAGAAGCTGAGGAGTCAGCAGGGGCCAAACTTCATCCCATGGCAAATCCATTCTCGGAGGCATAGTGCCCTCTGTCTCTTCACCTCCTGCTTTAACTCAAAGCTGGCTGCTCCCCAGGACCACTTCTGCTGGGGCTCCCCAGTGCAGGCTGCTGTCCAGGTTCCTGTCCTCTTCACTTCTCCTTATACATTTACGGAAAGCACTGAAGTCATCTCATCGTGCTGTCATCTGCTACCCACCCTGCCTACTCTTCTCACTTTCCACATTCCTTGGTGTCTTTGGCATGTACCTTCTCCACTGTCTGTTTTCTCTTGTCCCTGTCATGAGTGAAATGATGTCCATTCTACCTAAGTTTGAGTTTGACTTCTGGGCTCTGGGTCCCATACCTCTAGTCTCCTTACACTCCAAAGATTTGTTTCTTTAATGTGTTTTCTTTGCTTTTCTTTTGCAGGGGTGGGTGGATGGTAGGTGGGTGTTCAAGACAGGATTTCTCTGTGTTGCCCTGGAACTCACTCTGTAGACCAGGGTGGTGTTGAACTCGTAAATCTGCCTGCCTCTGCCTCCCAAGTTAAAGGTGTATGACACCATCATCCAACCCAAGGATTCTTACCTAAGATTGCTTGGAGTTTGAAATATATGTATTTATTTTCACTGATCTGTCTTAATTCTAGACAACACACTCATTCCTGATCTCTCCACGTTTTTCACTCATTTTCTTGCAAAAAGCATGGCTGTGAGTAGATTATCCAGATTGTAAACCGAGCATTTGTTTATGTTCCTTTTCATTCACCCTGTGTTCCTGGTAGTTGTTAGAAGAAGGTTCAAGCTCCCCCACAAAACATTGATTGCTGTTTGTGGTCTGGCCTTCATTTAGCTTTGGAAGAAGATAAAAAGCCAGTGTTTGATGAGGTCAGCAGTGATGCAGATTCATGAATTGCTAATATTAATTAATTAGCCAATCAATCAGTCAGTTAATTGTTATGTGTATGTCTCTCTCTCTCTGTATATTCAAATGCCATGGCATGGGCATGAAGGTAGGAGCACAACTTTTGAGAGTTGGTTCTTTCTTTCCACCATGAGGTCTAAGAATTGAACTCAGGTCAGCAGGCTTGCTGGACGTTTTCATTCACAGAGCCATCTAGATGGTCCTTGAGTATTAATTTTTTAAAAGGCATTTTTTGCATACAATTAGCCTAACTAGAAGGCACTTTGAAGCTTATAGAAGTTTGTCTTTGTAGGCTAAAGCATGTTTCTAAAAGTCATGCTTCCTTCCACTTCTTAGATGCCTATGGATGCATGTTTGGACAGTTTCTTTTTGTGTTTGCTTTGTTGATTCTCATGGGAGATTGATGGGGAATTTAAAAAGCACAATATTTGTTCAGTCTTTGCTTATTTCCTAAGGAGTAAGATGGTGAGAAAACAGATCTATCACCTCTGAGTGTTTGTGGGACAAAACTAGTAGAAATAACAGCATTTTTTATTAGGAAATTAATATGCCTTGGAAATGATGACCTCTTTTCCTGAATAAACTGTGGTGATTTATGGGCCCCTTGCAACTGTTTTTAATCCCTGATGTTAGCGTTTATGTAATTTAAGGAGGAATAATTACAGACACGTTGGTGACATTCTCTGCTCAATGAACGTAATATGATACAAAATGCCAAAAGAAAGAACCATGGCACTGAGATGAAAATCAGCAGCTGTTTAGCATTTCCAGGTAACACTTGGCTTTTGTGACCCTTCCCAAGCCTCAGCTGATTATAACTGTCTTCGGGGTGGGGGGGGGGAGGCAGGGTGACCTGTTTTGCAAATGTAAAGACACTGAAGTTAATCAGTCTCATGGTTTGAATGAGAAATATCCCTCCCCACAGGCTCCTATATCTGAACACTTGGTTCCCTTCAGAGAGGGTGTGGACACTTGAAGAGGCGGGGCCTACCTAGAGGGCGTGGGTCACTGTGGAGTGGGTTCTAGACAGCCTTGCACTCTTGACCCCTGCTCTGGCAGATGTCTTAGCTTCTTGTTCTGCCAAGATTGTGAGGAGTCCTAGGCAGCAGCCTGGTACCACAAACTCATCTGTGCTTCCTACTGTGACAGGCTACATTGTGTCAAACCATGAGCTAGAGTGAGTCCTGCTCCTCTCATGTTGCTTCCTGTCAGGTATTTGGTGATAGTGACAAGAAAAGCAACCAGCAGTTATTAAACAGCGTGCCCAAAGCTGTAGAGGAGGGTCTGTTATGTACCTGGCCCAGCCTTGGGCTCATCTGTCATTTGCTGTTTGAATTTGCTTTCCTCCTCTCAATGGCTGAGATAATGTTGTTGTCAAGACAACAGACCACTATATTCATTTTACTGTGCCTAGGACGACGAGTCTCACCTGCTTTGCCATTCATATGGAATTTCATGCTACACTTAGTTAATATAGCCTATTCTTGTCAGGTGGTGGTGGCTCACACCTTTAATCTCAGCACTCAGAAGGCAAAGACAGGTGGATCTCTGAGTTCGAGATCAGCCTGGTCTACAAAGCAAGTTCCAGAACAACAAAACAAAACAAATAAACAGCAACAACAAAAATCCAAACATAACAAGAGACAGAGAGAGGGAGAGGGAAGAAGAAGGAGGAGGAGGAGGAGGAGGAGGAGGAGGAGGAGAGAGAGAGAGAGAGAGAGAGAGAGAGAGAGAGAGAGAGAGAAATAAAACCTTATTCTTTCTGGAGACTCAGAAGGCTGAAGAATCAGTAAAAGCACAACACACCAGGGAATCCTGTGCTTTGATATGTGGATGAGTGACAACTGATGGTCTACACAGCTTCTGGTGATGAAATTGAAGCATTTGGTGCTAACTGGCAACTGGGAGGGCACTCCCTACCTAGTGTGGGGTGATGACTTGGGAACTTCTAGAGAGCAGGGAGGAGGTGTAATTCCTTTGTTCTTGCAAATTGAGGATGACAGGTTAGACAGGTTGTTCACCATGCTCTTTGGAAAGGGAATGCCAGTGGTCTCTGTGGCTCACATTCCTTGATTTACATAACAGACACATCTCCCAGAAGTTTATGTGAGTGGTGACATGTTTTTAGGGAATCAGAGGATTCAAGCCTTTAAAATATCCCTACTTTAAATCTACTTGAAATTGGACTGAACTCATGTGATGGAGGGAATTCGGAATCAATCTACTGTGCAGATCTGGAGTTTCAAATAAAGGATGTGTTAGATGCAATCTGCCTGGGAACTCAGCACAGAAATTCAGAAGTGCTTCTGAAACCTAGTGGGAAGTAGTAACCCAAAAGAATATGGTGAGACCTCTGAGGGCCAAGTTTACTGTATGCTTTTGACAACTGTCCTTTGGTTAGTTTTATGAAAATTAAATAAAACAAAATAAGTCACTTTTACATATTTGAATTTAACCAAGCAATGGGCAGTTTCAAGGCGTGAAATGAAGCAATTTCCATTATAATGTAGCTAAGGCAAGCCTTCCATTCATTTGTCTTCCCATGATTTTCAGTGCAAAGATTTGTGGTAATCTTTTCTTCGTTCTCTTATGGATAATCAGATTGTGTTTCTCCAAGTTTTATTTCAAAGGAAAAGTCTTGGAGAATGTCATGTGTTTATGCTCCCATTGCCGCAGGTTTCTGCTAAGGTATGACTAGGGACCTTCAACTTTGCAGACCCTGACATTATACCCTCTTCATATTCTAGTGAACAGGGAATGTGCACATTCTAGCACCACTGCTCTCTCTCTCTGTGCATGGTGTGTATATGTATGATATATGTGTGTATGTG